AAAAAAAAAAAAAAAGTGTATAATTCACATTTTTATTTACTGCAAAATTAGTCTTTATATTTCTTTGCTTCTTTCAGAATCTTTGGGGCAATTCATAATCTCTAAAAGTACAGCTAAAAACTGAAATGTCCTTTAACTAATGTATGCAGAAACCATGATACACACATACAGTAGAATATAATTCAGTAGTAAAAAGGAATGAGCTATCAATACTTGAACAAACAGCTGCCTCTCAAAGACATTGTGCTGAATGAAAGAAGCTAGACTTGAAAAGTTGCATACGGCCAAGTGCAGTGGCTCACATCTGTAATCCTAGCACTTTGGGAGGCAGAGTTGGGCAGATCACCTGAAGTCAGGAGTTTGAGACCAGCCTGGCCAATATGGTGAAACCTCATCTCTACTAAAAATGCAAAAATTAGCCGGGCATGGTGGCAGGCACCAGTAGTCCCGGCTACTCATTGCTTGAACCTGGAAGGTGGAGGTTGCAGTGAGCTGAGATCATGCATTGCACTCCAGCCTGGGCGACAGAGTGAGACTCCATCTCAAGAAAAATAAAAACAAAAAAACAAAAAAAAAAACTGCATAGGCCAGTTTTGGTGGCTCATGCCTGTAATCCCAGTACTTTGGGAAGCTGGGTCAGGAGTTGGAGACCAGCCTGTCCAACATGGTAAAACCCTATCTCTACCAAAAATAGAAGAAAAAAATTAGCCAAGTGTGGTGCTGCATGCATATAATCCCAACTACTTGGGAAGTTGAGGCAGGAGAATCCCTTGAACCCAGGAGGCAGAAGTTGCAGTGAGCTGAGGATGGACCACTATACTCCTGCCTAAGTGACAGAGCAAGATTTCTGTCTCAAAAAAAAATAAAATAAAAAACTGCCTACAAATGATTTCATTTATATGACATTCAAGAAAAGGGAAAATTATCAAATAAGAGACTTATCAGGGTTGAGGCTGAAGGAGGGTTTAACTGCAAAGGGGCGGTAGAGGGGGATAATTTTGGGGTGATGGAACTATTATGTATCCTGATTGTGGTAGAGATTACATAGCTATGCATTTGGTATATAACCACTATAGAACTGTACTGAAATTAATTTTACTATATGTAAGTCTGAGAAAATCCTTTTGAGAATTAACATAGCACTTAATGTTTTCTTTCTTTTCTTTTTTTTCTTTTTTTTTTTTT